TTCGAGGTAAGGGGTACGTCATGTTATTGGGCCTGTAGTACAGCCTATACGCCCTAAAGCAGAAACCCTAAACACCTGGCCAGGACGGAGTCTACATTTCGGGGTCTGTACTCGGGGCCCCAGCCTGTCGCCGAGGCCCTTTTTAGGCTTCATTGGTCGCCTAAGCCCGAATTCATTTCACAAGAGCCGCCGTTAAATCCAAAGCCAGGAACACAATACTCTAATAACATTCTACACCCTATTAGGGCTTCGGGTTTAGGGTTAGGCTAACCCAAAAGTTTAGAGTTTAGGACCGTCCCTGAAAACAGCGAAGCCTCGGATTCAAGCATTTCTGCAAGAACGGCCCGATGACTTGGAGAGAGGCTCCTACACAGAGACTCCAAAAGCCCTTAACTAAGGAATATGGTTCAGGGTTTAGGGTTTAGGGTTTAGGGTTTAGGGTTTAGGGGTTTACGGTTTATTGGGGATCTTAAGTTGCTATATTCCCTAGGTAAGGGGTTTTGGAGTCCCTGGGTATGGTGCAGGCTGAGGGCAGCCGAAGTACACGTCGCATGCCGAGGTGTTCCGGGTTTTAGGTTTTCGGGCCTACCTTCAGAACCCAAAGCCTACTTTTTTGTAGGGTCCCTATAGATCCCATATGAGGGTTTATAATAAGAACCTACAAAAAAGTGGGTTTTGGGTTCTTAAGGTAATTTCTAATCCAACACCCAGAGGTGTACAAGAAAAAGCCTGAAACCCCGAAGGGGCGTTGCCACACCGAATGACCAGAGCTCCCTCACAGAGATCCCTAAAGCCTAAACCCTAAACCTTGAACCCTAAACCCTACGCCGTAAACCCTAAACCCTAAACCCTAAACCGTAAACCCCAAACCCTCGACCTTGGCCCCTAAACCCTAAACCTTGAACCCTAAACCCTAAACCCTCGACCTTGGCCCCTACACCCTAAACCTTGAACCCTAAACCCTATACCCTAGACCTTTTTTGCCCCTAAACCCTCAACCTTGAACCCTAAACCCTAAACCCTAGACCTTTTTTGCCCCTAAACCCTAAACCCCACAGAGCGGAGAACCTTCAACCCTACAGTCTAACCCCGAAGGCCTGTACGCAATAGATCCTAAATCAGGTTGCTTGGAGGATCATGGGACTTAGTAAGTAAGGATACAAGTACCCTAATTGGTAATTGTAAGTCTAGTTACCTTATTTATAACCCTATATACTAAGTCCCATGAACCTCTAAGTGAGGAACCCCAAACCCTAAACCCTTAACAGTGTGGATTCCAGATGAGGGATGCTCCGTCGGATGGAAAAAGGCGTTCAACAAAACAAAAGCCCTTAAAGCCACAAGACCCGTGAATTTTGAGGCCTTAAAGCCTCTAAGAACCCTAAATCCTCGAACCTTCATGCCCCAAGAGCCATAAACCCCAGATCTTAATGTCATTAAGAACCCTAAGCCCCAAAAGCCTTCATGCCCCAAGTTCCCTAAGCACTAAACCCTCAAAGCCTCTAAGAACCCTATACGTGATTTAGGGTTTAGGGAACGGGCGCAAGCAGCTTGAACCCTAAAACCTAAACCTAAGAACCCTATACTTCATTTCGAACGGACACAACCACCCTAAACCTTAAAGCCCAAAGCTTAAACCCAACACCCAGAAGGCCTAAGATGTGTTGTCTCGTGCCCTTTTGCCTGGAGACGAGGACTCCAAAGGTGTCCCAGCGTTGCGGCTGCGGCCCTTCTTGGGCTACAGGGCGGCCTGTGCCAGCCCCTGGACCTTCACTACTTTTAGGGTTTAGGGTTTAGGGTTTAGGGTTTAGGGTTTAGGGTTTAGGGGCAAAAGATAGATATGTGGATAGATTAGACGGATAGGTAGATAGGTAGATAGGTGGATAGGTGGATAGATGGATAGATAGGTAGGTAGGCAGGTAGCGAGGTAGATGGATAGACAGAGAGTCTTTGTTGAGAAATGTTCTTCTGTTCCAGCTGCAAATTCGGTCTTTAGGGCTTAGGAAGTTTAGGAGGGATTCAACTCTGGGGAGAGTGCCGTGTTGATGCAGTGAAAAGTGCTCCCCTTATTGGAGCTTGGTAGAAGAACGTTGTGAGCTCCAGCAACATATTCCCACGGAGTAGAGAAGATATGCTCATAATGAACCTAAGCAAGGCATTTCCCACAGTCGGGAGTAAAACGCGGCACCAAGTCAGATTGCTCACTATTGCCTTGTGTACTGTTGGTGCAGCATTTATTTGAAGAATTGTTGGTGTATGTAATTTTTTCCATACTTGTATTCCTATTTCGGCATTCTTAGTAACGTTCTTACCGTTCGTGTCATTGTTGTGGAGATTGTAATCTTGCCTAAACCCCAAACCCAAACCCCCAGTCTTTTGCCGTGATTTCGCAGCTTCGTCTCCCCTGCAGCTCCCCAAGCTCGGAGCTTGAGTAGAATAGGGCTTGTTCCGGATGTACCATACCAAAAGTATGTAAAGACGATAAGGGTATACTGTTACCACTGCCACTACCACTACCACTGCCACTACCAGCACTACCGCTGCCACTACCACTACCGCTACCGCTACCACTACCCTTACCACTACCACTACCACTAC